AGATATTGGATATTCGGACAGAATGTAACATTGGTATCCGCACGGATATCCGAGAGAAGGCGATTTTTTCGAGTCGAATATCCGACCGGATTCAGAGAAAGTGTCTTCTAAAAAAAAATCTATAGAGAAAAAGATTGTAATTTTACAACAATGTATAATATATTACAGCATCATAAATATACATAAATATATACTTATTTCATTTATATATAAGAAAAAATCAACAATTTAAGGTTAATAAATGCATTTTATGTAATATATCTTGGATATAATATGTATTTTCAAAATATAATTGTAATTTTTAAAATATTCAAATTCAACTGGATATAAATAATATTAAGAATCTTTATTTTAGACTGCATATGTGAGAAACACAATCAGTACTAGAAAAATACCTATTCGAAGATCGAAGCTGGATCTTCATTGGTTTAAATAATTCAATCTTGAATTACTAATATACACTATACATGTACTTATATATCATATTGTAGTATATATACCATATTATAGTCTTTTTAGAACTGCGCGCCAAATTGTTTTTCCGGACTATAAATACTATCAATTAAAACTACTCTAACTCGCGAATTAAATTGACAAGCAATTTAATAATTTGATGCTACCATCAAGCATCACATAAAGATATTAATATATTGAAACTGTTAATAAATTTATTGTAATAGGCATTTTTCTAGTATTGATCAATCAGATATTTCCAGATATTAATGATATTATACTATCCAGTCGGATAATAAAAAAATGCCGGATAATATCAGATACTGGATACTTTCCGGATATTCGATGAATCCCTAAAATGTAATTATATAATATATAAAAACAATTATAATGTAATAACCAATTATAATTGTTTTTATTATATATTAATTATTATATATCATTATAATTAGATGTTCATAATTATAATAAGTAATCATATACATATATTAAATAAAACATAAATAAATCTTCCCCTCCCCATTATATACTCCAACAAAACTATCAACCTTGAATACAATCTCAAGTTGAATCAAGTTTCCAGCGTCCTGTTCATCCGATCATCTTCAGGTTCGATTACTTTGCGAGGACGGTACCGCCGGACACCTTCCAGTCGATCGCACTGGTCGACGTAGTGAAAAGCGCCAACTGGTCGTATGTCTCCACAGTGTATTCCGAGGGCAGCTATGGAGAATACGGGATAGAGGTGTTCACGCGTGAAGCTACCGAGCGTAACGTTTGCATCGCAGCTGCACTGAAGGTACCCAGCGCCGCCAACGACAAGGTGTTCGATGATATTATCCAGCGCCTAAGCAAGAAACCAAATGCCCGCGCAATCGTTCTGTTCACCCGGGCGGAGGATGCCCGTGGTATCCTCGAGGCCGCGAGACGATCAAACCTCAGTCAGCCATTTCAGGTCGGTGGCCGGGGAGCCGGTAATTATTGCAGGATTTTTGCTGATAACATGGAATTAGCTCTGATATTTGTTTTCCTTATTATTACGACGATAATATTTATCATTTTTCCAAACGTTTCAAAATATTAGATCAAAAGATCTTAACATTGCTCCATTTATATATTTCATATGTCTACATGTTTTTAAATATTATAAACGGAAATAATATTGAAAGCAAATGATAGGCCAACCTTTCATTAATAAAATGAATATAATGAAAATAAAGAATGTATTTTATCTGTGACATATTTTTTCTATACGTGGCATGTTTAATTAAACTGTGACTCAACCTTCAATAATAGATTCTTCATTTTCTTGTTTGTCTCTCTTTTTTGACAAATTTAAATCTTATTTTCATCTTATGAAATCTTCAACTATCTCATTCATTTATATTATGTAACACTATTTAAGACAATGTAAAGCTTTGACATTGATAATTGAAAACTAAAGTTTATCGCTCGGATAATTTCAATTATTACAAAAAGTCGACTTTGTTCAAATAATCAGCATCAAATTAATATTAAAAGTTCTTGTACAATTTCCATATTGTCAGCAAGTTATTTTTTAAAGCACATCAAGATTATTTTAAAGCTTATCTCTCGCAGTTTTTCTTTCTGAAATAAGATTTCTATAAAAACTTGCGTCTTTCGTCTTTATTTCATTGCTTCCATCGCGCTGAAATGAAACGGGGTTCCGTGAAATGTCCCCGAATTTCTGCGCCCTAAAATTCCTCAAACAGCAATTAAACATCTCAGTGGCTGGCCAGTGACGGTTGGGGCCGGCAAAGTAAATTAATCGAGGGCCTCGAAGAAGAGGCCGAAGGTGCCATCACTGTCGAGCTGCAATCGGAGAACATCCCTGGCTTCGACAGCTATATGGAGTCGCTCACCCCCGAGAACAATCGACGGAATCCTTGGTTCGGCGAGTACTGGGAGGAGGTGTTCGGCTGCACTCTTCGAAGGAATGTGACGACCTACGAGCGTTTCGGTTCACAGGTCGGATGGAAGATTGGTACCGGCAATCAGAGTTATCTCATCTGCCCTCCTGGACTCAAGCTCAGCACGACGAGCGGCTACGAGCAGGAGTCCAAGGTGCAATTCGTCGTGGACGCGGTCTACGCGTTCGCCCTAGCGCTCAGTAAGCTACGCCACGATCTCTGCGGGCGCGAAAAGGGCTTGTGCTCGTCAATGGCCAACTACGACCGTGGCGCGTTCTATAAAAATTATCTGCTGAACGTGTCCTTTATAGGTGAGTCCGATGACGGAGCGTGTGTCCTCTCGCGTGAAATGGGAACAATCGCGACGCGCCGTTTGTTCGCCTCTTTTGTACCGTTTTTTTTCCTCATCCTTCCCTTTCGATCTTCTTATCCCTTTTCTAAAGGTGGTGAAGAACTGACAGGAAAGGGAGGGCGGAAGACGAGGAAACGCTAAAGAAATGCTCATTGAAATGGCGTTGGATGGGATAATCGGCGAAGCGATCGATCTAAGCGAATTAAATGTCATGAATCCTGCTTCGTAAAAAATGAGAATCTTTCAAAAGTAGAATGCTGTCAAATTGATATAATTGAGAGCTACGTCACAGCTTTTCCTGTTCGCGCACGTGGCATATTTTTTTGTTTTCGAGATATTATCAACTCTTAGTACCCATGATTAGTCTTTCCTTCTACGCATTTCTTTCTTTGAAATACTAGGAGCACTGGCTAAATAATGGTCTCTATCCTATTCTTTCTTTTTAATATACAACCTTACAAATACTTTCTAAAGAAATAACAAATATTAAAGATGTTAAAACATATGTATATGGAAAGAATGACTTTGTTAAAATATTAAAAACTTTAGATGGATGCAGGTCTGAAAATAATTTTGTTGAACCATCAAAATAGTTATGTAGGACGCTCAAGCATGATGAGCAATACTGCAAAAGTTTTAATATTCTGTAGTTTGAGTGTTCTACATTTCAAAAATTCCACAAAATTATTTTCAGATCTGCTTTGGCTCAAAATATTAGACATTTTATTAACTATTTAAAGCTTTATTTAAAGTTTTAGCAAAAATTGATTTATGTCGTTTGTTGTAAATTATCCTTTGTTTCAAGAACTCTTTAAATTTGTATATAATACCAGTAATTAATAAGTGACAATTAATGATAAAAGAATTCCAGATAAATGAAAAATATATAAGTGCCTAATATTTTTAGTCAAGGTTATATATCCAGCAAAAGTTTTAAATACTTCAGCAAAACCATTCTTTTCATGTAAAAATGACTTAATAATTTTCGTATATATACTTTTAAATGTGCTGAAAATTAACGCAACAACCTATATATTATGTATATAGGAAAGAACAGGAAAATTATTGTGAGTACTAATTAAGGGTTAAATTTTTGTATTACTATGCGAGAGAGCTGTTGCTATAAAAATCGAATCATTAATTCGACTAAATAATCTCGTCTCGAGATTCATGCACCAAGCAAAACAATAAGTCACAATAACGTCAAAATAAATTGGAAATAATTGAAAAATGACTTTTAATGATCATTTTGAAGTTATTTTGATATCATTTTGGTATTATATTGATTTGTTGTTCTACTTGAGCTACAACGGAAATTCACAGTCATTGGACGTTATTTTGCAGACGCCGCCGGTAGTGAGGTGAAATTCGACGAGCACGGAGACGGCCTGGCGCGATATGAAATCCTCAATTTCCGTAAAGGGACGAACAACAATGGCGCGAACGGCTATCATTATCGGGTAAGGTTTATTCCAAGCATCCTAATCATTATAACGTGCTATATCCTCGCCGCTGCATAATTGAACGAACTGTCCAGCCGTCGAGAACGATAAATTCAATTGGAACTCTTCAGAAAACTCTACCTCTGCCCTCACCCTCCCCTTTCGTAAACTTTAGTTTTCGTCATCATTTGCTGCTAATGCACGGATGAACTATGAAGTAACACTTGATATTTTCTGATGGTCGAACTATTTAAAAAGTTCGAACTTCGATCGAATTCTCCGAAAATATGTTCTAACAATTCAATGCTAAACAAGAAAGTTCAGTTTTATTTTAATTGATTTTTAGTCTGGAAGTTTTATAATTAATATGATATATAAGATGAAGTACTAATATTTTTCTATTTATCTCACAAATTTAATTCTGATAATTAATTTGAACAATATTCATTTCCGAACATTACAATTATTCCTCGAAGATGTGTTCTAACAATTTAGGTTTGAGCAAAATAGGAATAGTGTTTAGTTTTATTTTAATTAATATTTGCTTGTAAGCTGTAAAATTAATATCAAGAATATAATACTAATATTTTTCTGTACTAATATTTTTATTTTCTAAATTTAATTCTCATAATTAATTTAAACAAAATTCATGCTCAAACATTATAATCACTTGAATATTTTTGAAAATATATTCCTACGAAACTGATTCTTCCAGATTTAGATGAAAAATGAGAAGAACGTGTTTCCAAGAAGAACAAGTCATGATAACGTTAAAATGAATCGTAAATGATATTATGAAGTCATTTTAACATAATTTTGATATTATAATGACTTGTCGTTCTGTTTTTGGATTCAGTTTCATTTTAGAGCTTAATCTGAAAATTATAAATTCAATACCAGAAATACTGCTCCGATATTTTTCGACTTTATAACAACAGTCGAAATAAAATTCCCAATATCTACAAACGTCGTGTCAATGTTTCCATCAGCGTAATCGCAGTTGTTAAATCGGGAAACTATGGCTATTTGTTTACCCGTAACGGTATTTTTTTAAATGCTATTTTGTGCAACATCGCGCCGTTAATACACCGTGTGAAGCCAGGACGATCGATGTGATGCGACGCGGAATCGAACGAAGCGAATGCGCAAAGAACGATAGCTCTATCTTTTTAACGAGTAATTAAAGTTGCCCAACGGTTGTACATTCGAGAGCCTGCAAGCTTCTGGCAAACCGCTTTTGCCCGAGGTAATCGAGATAGAATGAAACTCTCGAGTCAAGAAAAATATAACGGTGTTTATAGAGAACGATAAAATTAGAAGTTAATGGGACAATAGAATTGACATTAAAAGTTTAATTAAAATTAAATGGACTGAATTAGCGATTAATGGAATAGCGATTATAGAGAACGTTTGAAATATAAATTACTTATAAATTTTCGTTGTTTAATTTGTAAATTCAACAATAAAAAAGTGTTAAAATGTAATTTAAAAGGAAGTCACGTGTAAAAATGGGTAAAATGAAGAAGGAACTTTAAATTCTCTCTCTAAAAATACAGATAAAATATGGAAGAAATTTTAGAATCCTCTTCAAGCAGGAAGAAAAAAAAAGAGATAGTATGAGAGAGAGAGTCTATTCAAGCTCTGAATAACAGGTCACGATAAAGTCAAAATGACATTAAAACGATTGGCCAAAAAGTTACGTTTAATAATCAATTTGTAGCCATTTTGATGTCATCCGATGTCACGATGACTCTGATTTGCTTTTCCAAACACAAGTCACGATGACATCAAAATAACATCAAAATGGCTTAAAAACTAAACACTAAAAGTCACTTTCAATCAGTTATGATTCATTTTGACGTTATCATGACTTATTCTGCTTGAGTAGATTCTCTCTCTCTCTCTCTCTCTCTCTCTCTCTCACACACACACACTCTGCATTTACTCCCAAAAACAGTTGCAATGCATGCTATTAACAATCTTGCTTGAATTGCTTTTTCCAGCTTGCGGTCTCACGTACTTTCTGCACATTTATACTTGCAGACACACTTATAACTTCAATTTAATTATTTGTTTTACATAATTTTTTCTTATTTTTATTTTTTTTATGTTCTTTAAGATATTTGTACTCTTCAATGTATTACTATATTATTTTTTGTTTGCTGTATCGTGACTTTGCATTTGAAGAGATTTTGTCCCAGAACGAGTAACAAATAACGTTTCTCTTTCTATCTTTCTCTCTCTCTCTCTCTCTCTCTCTCTCTCTCTCTCTCTCTTTCTCTTTCGCGCACGATAAAACTGGTACCCGACGGAAAATTTGACCAGCTTCCAAATCGCGAAACGAGACGCTTGCGCGTGCTGAAGTTCAGCTGGCGGGTCAACCACGTGCCAAATCTCTGGTCGACAGGTGGTGGGCAAATGGTACAACTCCCTGGACATTCGTACGGAGGAGATGGTGTGGGCGCGGGGAACGAAGGACATACCGATCTCCGCGTGCTCGCTACCCTGCGAGCCAGGTATGATAAAGAAGCAACAGGGTGACACTTGTTGCTGGGTTTGCGACCAATGCGAGGCGTACGAGTATGTCTACGACGAGCACACCTGCATGGATTGCGGCCCGGGTTTCTGGCCGCATCCCGACAAACGGGGATGCTATCAGCTACCAATTAATCATATCAGGTACGAGCACACGCGTCACTTCCCCGAAATTTCGCTTCACTCACTCGCTTCCCAAGAAACACCCCAAGTAAAACGAGTCATTATAATATCAAACTGACTCGAAAATGATCATTAAAAGTCATTTTCCAATCATTTTCGATTCATGTTAATGTCATTTTGACATTATCGTGACTTGTTTTTCTGCTTGGGACATCTTAAGTCAAAAGAAAGTCAAAATGACTTTATTTTAAGACATCTTGAAAATCAAAATGATGACTTTAGTTGCAAAATTTGATTGTTGACGTTAAGAATTAAAATAAAATCATTCTGATTTTTTGTTGACTTCTATGTATTCCTCGGGTTAGAGCGTGTTCTAATTGGCGAGTTAGAACTCTATTAGGTGTACAACTTTGCTTCCGCCGTTTTTTTTCCGAAATTCCAGGCTTTATTGTAAAAAACTGGTTATACATTTATGATTCAAAGTATTGTTCATCGCTGGCCACTACTTTCTCCCATCTTTCGGTAGCATACGAATCCCGCGTCGAAAAAACTGGTCATCTTTTGAGGCTATCCACGATTGATTTAATTTTTTACTTCTTCATAAGACCGGAAGTGCTGGTCAGCCAGGCCGTGTGCCATTGATCGAAACAAGTGATAGTCAGAAGGAGCAACGTCTGGAAAATACGGCGGGTGAGATAGGACTTCTCATTTCAACGTTTCCAAGTATGTCTTGACCACTTTCGCAACATGGGGTCGAGCATTGTCATGCTGCAAAATCACTTTATCTCGTTGTATTGCGGCCGTTTGTCTTTCAATGCTCGGCTCAAACGCATCAATTGCGTTCGATATCGATCGCCTGTGATTGTTTCAGTCGGTTTTAACAGTTCATAATACACTACGCCGAGCTGGTCCCACCAAATACAGACCTTGAAGCCGTAAATATTCGGTTTGGCCGTTGACGAGGAAGCATGGCCGGGAACTCCCCATGATTTTCTGCGCTTGGGATTATCGTAATGAACCCATTTTTCGTCCCCAGTCACAATGCGATGCAGAAATCCCTTCCGTTCTTTGCCTTTCAAGCAGCTGTTCACAAGCAAACAAACGCCGTTCAACATCTTTCGGCTTGAATTCGTACGGCACCCAATTTCCCTGCTTCTGAATCATTCTCATGGCTTTGAGGCTTTTGAAATGGCTTGTTGAGTCACTCCCAACGATCGTGTGCCAATTCTTCTTGATTTTGACACGAGTCTTGCTCAAGTAATACCTCCAATTCTGCATCTTCGAAAACCTTTTCTCTTCCACCGCTATGCCGATCTTCGACGTCAAAATCACCGTTGTTGAAACCACTCACGACACGTTCTTTCACTAATAGCGGCCTCACCATAAGTATTTGAGAGCATTCGATGAGCCTCAGCCGCAGATTTCTTCATATTGAAGCAAAAAATTAAAACCTCCCGCAAATGACGAGAATTTGGCTCGTAAACTGACATTTTCAATCGAGAATAACTTTATGACGCAGACACAAATCGACTAATGTTTCTACGGGGTTATGTTGAGAGATGCCCAAGTTTATTATATGACGTCTATGATCTATTTATTTCGACCACCACTTACCGCTAAAGCCATCTATAGGAAAACGGCGAAAGCAAAGTTGTACACCTAATATATTAATATAAGAGTAGCGCATTTTTTTTATTTGAGAGAATGCCGTCAATCGCGTCTTCCTATTGGCTGCTTTTCTATTGCATTTTTTACTGGCTATTTCGATCGTTACGTAATTATTCTATTAATTATCTAATTAATTAATCTATTAATTATCTAAGAAGCGCTTAGTAATTCTTTTCAATATAATATGATTTTTAGATCCAATGATTTTAGATCCAAATTGCCGACTTTTGTTTTACTCTTATAAATATAGAGCATCATTTATCTTTGTTTAATATCTGATAAACAACAAAGATGAAATGATTTTATGAGTACAAACACTATATAATTACATAAGTAAACGCAACATTACTTACAAAAATCACTAAGAAATATAGAATATTGTTAATCCTAGGATTAATAAAAACAATCCTGGAATTCAGAATAAAGAAGAAACTAAATATACTGTAAGATAAATTTAGTTTCAGGATTTTCTATAGCAATGTGGCTTATCATCACTTTCAGGAAAAAAGAAAATAAATTTTATTTTATTTTTTAAGAATTTTAATTTTTTGTATTTTTTAATAAATAGATTCATTTAATGTGTGTAAGAGAGTTCTGTGAAATTTTGAGAATTTTGAAAAATGTTCGTTGTAAATTCGATGTATTTAAATTTAATTCATGTGCGATGACGTGGTAAAAGTTTTAAAAGAAAATTGTATTTATTGTTCATTGTGTACTCGCTATTTATTTTATTTTGTTTAAAATTATTTTTCTCCAAAATATTCTGAGGAATTTTGTTTATCGCACACATTCATTATTATTTGCGCTTCTAAATTAAATTTAAACTAAAATTGCTGTCCGACAATTTAATGTTTGGCGATAGATTGAAAGAGAATTATTTATTACTACAATTTATATAGCATGTTTTTCAAATTGAAATTAGCTACTGACAGAAACTGACAAATAATTAAATATAATTAAAAACAATAAACTAATTAAAAGATGTATCAGATGCATATAAACTCTGCAAAAATTGTTATTGGAAATGTATGTATTCCATATAAAAATAAATGTTACATATAAAGCAGGTCACTAAAGTCAAATATTTAACGATACAATTTTATAGTTTGAAAGTGAAAATGAAAATTTGTTCATTTTATTTTAATTATTTTTTAACAACGTATCTATTTCTTATTATTCCAGATTCTAAATTACAGCTAAATTTTTTATATTACTCTTAAATGCAATATAGAAGAATCTAACTTTTTCATAATTTTTTCATTTTGTTAAAAAATACTTGATCTGCGCATTTTTTCACTTGCACTTTCATCAGGTGGAGCAGCGCTTTCGCCATCATACCTGCGGTAATATCTTGCCTAGGAATCGTGGCAACCCTGGCGGTGGCGTGCTTGCTCTTTCAACACCGCGACACTCCAGTTGTCCGCGCCTCCGGACGAGAACTCACCGTGATCCTGCTGGCGGGCGTCCTGGTGTGTTACTTGAACACCTTCGTGCTTCTCGCCACGCCGACTACGGCTACCTGCGTTCTTCAGCGTTTCGGGGTCGGTGTGAGCTTCAGTGCCGTGTATGGCGCCTTACTCACCAAGACCAATCGAATAGCCAGGATCTTCGACTCAGCCTCGAGATCTGCCGTCAGACCGCGATACATCAGTCCCACGTCGCAGGTCTGCATCGCGGCTGCGCTAATCGCCTTTCAGGTAGGTGAATTCCGATCCCGATTGCAGGAAAATGAAGTTCCTATTTCGAAACCAGACACTTGTTTCAATGCAATCATCCTCGTCGTCGAGGGTATGTATATTCTATTTGATTTTCAGTAATCTTGAGAAAGACAATCTTTTAAGCTATCTAAGGTAGAAGAGATCAGGGCACCATGAACTACAAAATTTAAACTTTAAAAAAATTTAAACTCTCTTAAAAATATTTTTTAACATTTTTTTATCTTATTTTTTATATAATTATTTATATATTATTTTATATAATTAAATATAAATATAATTAAGGAAGTTTAATACAAAACATATAGTTAAAAAAACCACCACAGCTAATCACTTTTGTGATTGAATCGCTTAATTTCAAAGTAAACAGGGTTTATATTAATGTATACTCTTATAAAAAAAACTAAAGAGTCAAGTTTAATATATTTGCGAGTTAAACTGTTTAATTTCATTGTTTATTTAAATTAACAACATATGAGTGAAAGTATCCCAAGTAGAACAACAAGTCATAATAACGTTAAAATGACATTAAAATGAATCGGAAATGATTGAAAAATGATTTTTAATGATCATTTTGGAGTTATTTTGACATCATTTTGGTATAATAATGATTTGTTGTTCTGAGTAGTGATGACTTATAGAATAATTAAAAATAGCTCAAATTAGATATGATTTAACATAACGAATTCAACAATGTAGAAATATTTTAAAATACCAGGTATGTAAATATGAAACCGGAATTTTTTTATAGAAAATACACGTTTGTTGCATGAAAATGATAAAAAATATTTTATTCGAAGTATTGCCCATCGGTAGCTGTACATTTTTTCCACCTGTTTGACAATTTGTGGATGCCACGCCAAAAAAATTGTTGCTCTTTTGAACCAAGCCAGTCATCTAGCCATTTTCATATATCTTCGTAAGAAGTGAAGCGCTGAGCAAGTGCGTGTCCCATCGATGCAAATAAGTGGTAATCGGACAGAGCCAAGTCTGGTGAATAAGCCGCATGCGAAAGTATTTCCCAATCAAATCGTTTCTTTGATCAGTTTTGCTGTGTGTGTGATGATGCATTATCATGAAGCAAAATCATTTTGTGTTGTCTTTTTTGATATTCTGGTCGTTTTTCACACAAAGCTTGATTCAAATTGATCATTTGTTGTTAGTAGCGTTCAGTATTAACGGTTTCGCCAGGTTTTAGCAGCTCATAATAGATCACATCTTTCTGATCCCACCAAACACAAAGTATTGTCTTCCGTCCATAGCGATTTGGCCTTGCAGTCGATGTCGATGGTTCACCTGGAGTTACCCATGATCTTTTACGCTTAAGATTCTCAAAATATATCCGCTTTTCATCGCAGTCACAATTCGATGGAGAACTGACTTTCTTGTGTACCTGGCGAGCAGCATTTCGCAAGTGGTTTTTCGATTTTCTTGCTGTCTTTCATTCAGTTCATATGGAACTCATTTTCCCATCTTCTGGATCTTTCCCATGGATTTCAAACGTATGGAGACGGCTTCTCGTGTCACATTCAATTGATCCGCGAATTGTTGAGTTTGAGCGTCATCCTCATCCAACAATGCTTGCAATTCGCTGTCTTCAAACTTTTTCGGTGGTTTTCCACGTTCTTCGTTTCTCACGTCAAAATCGCCACTTTTGAATTTTTTAAACCACTCAAAGCACTGTGATTTACCAAGAGCATGCTCACCGTAAGCTTCGACAAGCATTCAATGCGATTCTGCAACAGTTTTCTTCAAATGGTAACAGAAAATCAATGCTGTCAGCAAATAGTAGTTTCCAGGGACAAAATTCGACATGTTCAACGCTATTACTGTTGTATGAAACAACAAACTATACTGTTGTATGAAACTTGTATTGTTATGAGTTGAAAATCTTTGTCAGATGTCAGAACAAGGAAATGGCGTCAATGGCGCCGTCTGACGGCAACTACATTGACAGCTATGGCCATCTATTGGTTCCGGTTTCATATTTACATACCTGGTAAGGTTCGAAATAGGCATTTTGCTCCGTTTTTGTACGTTTCATTTTATCGAGACAGAGAGAAAGAGAGAGACAGATTCCTTTTCGATTCCCGAGGTGGTGCTCACACTGGTCTGGATGATCATCGAGCCGCCGGGTACCAGGCACTCGTACCCGGATCGCCGTCAGGTGATCCTCAAGTGTAACATCCAGGACATGAGCTTCCTGTTCTCCCAGCTGTACAACGCTCTGCTGATCCTCATCTCGACCGTGTACGCGGTGAAGACACGTAAGATCCCGGAGAACTTCAACGAGAGCAAGTTCATCGGCTTCACCATGTACACCACGTGCATCATCTGGCTCGCCTTCGTGCCGATCTACTTCGGCACTGGGAACGCCCATGAGACTCAGATCACGACCCTCTGCGTGGCGATCAGCCTGAGCGCGTCCGTCACTCTAGTCTGCCTCTACTCGCCCAAGGTCTACATCATCGTCTTCCAGCCAGACAAGAATGTACGTGGCAAGGTCTGCATAGGCAGCACGTTCAAGAAGCAGAGCAGCAGCGCCGGCGCGTCCTCCATGACGAAATGTGAGAGTTTCACTGCACTTGTTGCTAACTACGATTCAGTATTCATGTCTATTTTTATTTCTTGTGTTAATAAGACTATCTTAATTAATTGTTTTAAGATATTAACACAGCTTTGTGATTGGTTTATGAAATCATAAGATTGTACAATTGTACTTAAGACCTTTTCTTTTTCTTTCATACTGACACCCGATATCTAAGTAAAAGGATTCAATATGACCAGATTATACTTAAAATGGTCTTAAATATAAGAATCGATTATGAATACTAAGAAATTGGACACCGTTTGGATAAATTGATGCTAGACTTTTGATTGATCCGCCATATTTAGGATGTGATTAATATAGGATAAGATAAATGCATAAGATAGAATAGCGTGAATATCTATCTCATTTTTATATTAAATATTTAGTTCGCTATATTTAGAATGGTGTTCAATTTCTTATTGGAAAATCTTTACACGGAAAGAGTTTTGCTACGGAGTATCTAAAATTTAATTAGACGCAGATTTGAAAATAATTTGTTGAATCATTAAAATAATTACGTAGAACGTTTAATTCTAATTTGCTCCGAAATTTCTTTAATTGATATTCGCAGGTCTAATGCATTTTAATTCAATAGAGTTATTATAATTCAACGATTCTTTTTCATTTTAAAAGTCAAAATTTAAGGAATAAGTATGTAACGTAAAATTATGTGAAAAACATTTGTTATATATTTGTTATATATATAAATAAACATTTGTTATATATATAAATAATTTTTTATAACGTACATAATTGAAGAAAATGTCCAGATCGATTGGATCCGCGAAAACCGATTAAAGTTTAACGTTAATGCAAAAAGTTTTAATATTCTAGCAACCAGTTTAAATGTCTTATATAATTATTTTGATGGTGCAAACAAAATTATTTTCAGATCTGCATCCAGCTAAATTTTTAAATAAATTTTAGATGTAAATTTCAATAAAACTGTTCTTTTTATCTAGTGATTACGAGCTCGTTTCGCGATACCAAACTACGTGATCTGATTAATTTAACTTCGTTTTCTTTTTTTGAGCAAAATTGTAATATGCATTGCATGGAAAAATTTTCTTTTGCCTAGCAGAACATTTGACGTAATTTTTCATTTTTTTCGCTATATTCAATAATGCACAAATACTATGACAATTATATTATTTATTTAATAAAGATGAATATTTTGAAAGAATTGGCAGAATTGATATCTTTGTTAAAAGACATTTAGAAAAGAAATATTCTAATCCTATTCTACAGTTCTATATTTGATCGAAGCGGATTTTGGTGCTTCAGATGTAAATTTTCAAATAAATTGTTATTAAGCATCAGAATCAGTTTCGACTTTGCGGATTTTGGTATAAAACTTCTTCTCTTATTTGTACATGAAAAGAAGAGTTTTGCTGAAGTATCTAAAAATTTAGCTAGATACAGAAAACAATTTTGTTAGACTGTCAAAATATTTATGCAGGACCTTCAAGTTGTTTGAAATGTCGAAACTTTTTGTAGCACTGCTTATCATGTTTGAGTTTGAGTTTCCTACATAATTATTTTGATGATTCACAACAACAAAATTATTTTTAGATCTGTATCTACCTAAAGTTTTAGATACTTCAACAAAAACTCTTTATGTATGTTCGTTATTCACTTATCAAATAATTTTTTTCACAAAAGATTAACGACGAAATTAATAATGATTATGAAGATAAAGTTACAAAAAAAAGAGGGTTAATTTAAATGAATCTTCTAATTAGAATTTGAAGTGAATGAGTTTTGCCTGCGAAATCGAATGTTATGTCGCGCGTGTCATGAACGTGAATAATATTCATATGTAAATTTTCAAATAAATTTTTATCAAGCACCGCTTATCAAAATCCGCTTCGACCAAATGTAGGGTTCTTTCTCTTATTTGTATTTTTTATTTTTATTTATTATTAGACCTATCGGTCTATTTCCCTCTCATTATTGTTTACAAAAGAGTAACGAAATATAATGATGATTATAAAACTAAGATTACAAAGATGAAAAAGGTTAATTTAAATCAGAGTTGGTAAAAAACATGTTTTAAACGTATTTTAAATGGTGCTTTTAAAACATGCATGTTGATGTTTTTAACATTTTTTAAATTATATATTTTTTTTATAGTACTGTTTAAAAGGATTCTAAAGCCGTCTGTATTACTGTGACTAAATCATATAATTTTTAATTTTTTAAATCATATAACAAATACTTTTTTTCTCTTTCACAGATTCGAAAATCCTTTTCCAGGATTAAAGTATACGCATTAATATGATTTTGTGAGGTGGAGTTTATGCCGAGAATGATCAAAAATTTCGAAATTGATATTTTTTTTACCATTTCTTAGTGTAACATGGCATTTCAAGCTGTCAAGTTGTGACAACATTTGCTTGATACGAAAGTCTTGCAATCTGTACTTACGAAATAATAATCCACAAACATGTAGTTTGCACGAATAAATAACGTCGAGTTCTTAGAATTAAACTTAGATCTCGATAAAAAAATTTTTCATGCATCAATATGTATAAGTATAAACATACATAAATATATTTATAAATATATATA